TAATCTTTGTAGATCTACTCAGAACCTTGTCCAAAGACATAAAATGCTGCGCTTCAGGCCATCATCTCTCTTGGCTGAAGTAGGAGGGGTGTGCTACATAGATACCAGACCAAGTTTCACGTCTGTATGACCTACGGTTTGGTCTGCGCGATCAGTTTTGAACATATGCTTTTGTTGTGATTTTGATTTGGCCTTGTTGTGAGTTAATCATTTTTATGCATATATTTTCTGGGTTTTGTTACATGTCGTTGTGTGTTCTTGTTTCTTAACATTTTCGTTGTAGTACCTTCATTCTCTGTATATGTTACTAGTTATGTGTTTATTGTGCTTACCTTCATTTAATCGTTTGAGAATTTGTATCCATTGTTTCAAGTACTTCTTTGTTTCAAGTCCTAGAAGAAGAAGAAAAAAAATCCTAATAAAAACAAAAGGATCCCAAGCACATCATGCTTGGGTTTGCCAAGCTCACGTCATGTTTTTGTGTTCCTGAGGCTACCTCATTGTTGTTGTTCTTGTTCATGTATCGTGTGTGTGTTTTGTATTGCACCGTAAACTGCAGTAAACTGTATCTGCACCGTAAACTGCAGTAAACTGTATCTGCACTTGCATCCGCCTCCAATCCCTGACAACAGGGTTCCAGCACCTTCAGTGCATGGATCTCTAAAAATAATTAAAAATATGAAATCAGGGTAAGCTACAAATAAGTTTGCTTGTAAAATAGTTTTAAACACATTCTTTAAAGTATTGCTGGCAGAGGTTTTACATGCTGATGTCCACCATATGTCCAAAAGTTTGTGCACACCTGACCATCACACCCATACAGTATGTGGGCCTTCCCCAAACTGATGCTACAAAGTTGGAAGCACACAATCGTATAGGATGTCTTTGTATACTGTAGAATTGCAAATTCCTTTCACTGGAACTAAGGAGCCTAAATATGTTCCAGCATGACATGTTCCAGCATGAGTGACCCGCACAGAGTCTTGACCTCAACCCCATTGAACACCTTTGTGATGAATTTGAATGCCAACTGCACCCCAGGCCTCCTCACCCAACATCAATGCCTGACCTCACTAATGCTTCTGTGGCTGGCATATAGCTACAGCCACATTTAAAAATCTAGTGGAAAGCCTTCCCAGAAGAGTGGAGGTTATCATCACAGCACAGTCTGACTAAATCTGGAATGGGATGTTCAATAAGCACATATGTTGACCAGTTTCATCCAATGAACATTTTTTAAACTGGGAACAGAAAACTGATCAATAAATGTTTGATATCTTAAAAATATTTTTTTACGATGTAGCATTAGTAGCAGTAATTTGGAATTAGTAATTAGTAGCAGTTACCCAGTAACTGCCAGCATTTACCAGCTAGCAAAGTTAGACTACAAATTTGCCTGTTTTGGCAGCTGGCAACTTGCTATACCAAGCTGGACAAGGCCCTGAGAAAAGGGATTTGTATATTACAACTGGCAGACTTAGTAAAAAGTAATAAGCTGCTGATCTACATTTTTATAATAATTTTACTCAGCAACTTTTAGCCAACATACACTTGCCTTTAGAGTGAGAACACAGGAGGAACAGGTGTGACAGGCACCCCTAAATAAGTAGTTTGCCCCAGCATACTACAACTGGTTCCAGCAATAAAGCTGGCAACGCATTTCTAATTTACAATTACATATAACAAGGATCATCCATTTTCCATCTTGCTACTCTGATACTGATACTGTACTGCAGCCATACTGTTAATATATCTTTTTTTTTTTTTTTACTCAACAACCTTCACTCTTTCAACATGCTTTCAGACTGAAAGCATGGGGAACATATAACTGGTGTTCCCTAAATTTTAAGTTTAAGTGGTTATAAGTGAAAAAGGGGAGTCTACGCTCAAGTCTCATTCGTTATTAAGTGGATAACTTCACCTTGATACTACAGACTTAAAGCTAAAAGCTCTAATGAAATAAAAACTGGCCCTGATGCTCATACTGAAGTTCCTTTCAACACACTGACTGCTGTTTTACTTAATAGAATGCAATTGTAGGTAAGTAATGACTCATAATCACACTATCCGGTGTCATTCAGGAGAGGATGGGTTCCCTTTTGAGTCTGGTTTTTCTCAAGGTTTCTTCCTCATGCCATCTTAAGGAGTCTTTCCTTGCCACTGTCGCCTCATTATGCATCTAAATCTAAATCTATATCCATATTTCTGTGAAGCTGCTTTGGGACAATGTCCATTGTTAAAAGCACTATGTAAATAAAATTGAATAGAATTAAAAGATTTATGCTAGTACAGAATATCTGTTTTATGATTTCACTTTTTTAAAAAAATTTAATTATTACTACATGCTGTTACAGCAATGTGATGATTCTTGCTACAGTATGAAGCTACTAGAAAGTCCTGGCAGTAAAGTGCCACAAATCTAGTATTTAAATATTTTAAACCATTAAAGGAATGGGAACAACAGCAAATCTTTCCACATTTAAGGAATCTTTTTTAACTTTGCACATGTAGACTCAATGACTTAGTTGAACTAGTTTGCATATAACTAATCAACCAAAACATTATGACCACCCACAAACAAAGCAAACCTTGGAACAATGGCACGTCAAGGTCTGAGATATATTTGAGGTTAAACGAAAGTGTTGGGTGCCCGAGGTTCATCGATGCGCAACAGAGGCTATCCCATCTGGCTCGAACCAACAGAAGGGCTACCCTGACACAAGTCACAGAAAATTCAGTGATGGTTACAGGAAGAATGTGACACAACACACAGTTCATCAAGCCATGCTGTGCATGGGGCTGCGTAGCAGAGTGCCCACTGTCAAAAGCGCCTACAATGGGCACGCAAGCATCGGAACTGGACCTTGGAGCAATGGAAGAAAGTCGCCTGGGACAACGAGTCCCATTTTATTTCATATCATGTGGACAGCCAGGTACATGTGCGCCATTTACCTAGGGAAGTGATGGTACCAGGATGTACTGTCGGAAGAAAAACAAGCCGGTGGATGCTCTGGGCAATACTCTGGGTCCAAGCATTCATGTGGACATCAATTTGACACGTGCCACATGACAATATTATTCCCTGCTGGCAGTGACCTCTTTCAACGTGCCCTACCACACTGCACACATACAAAAGAGTTCAAGGTGTTGGCCTCCACATTCCCCAGCTCTCAATCTGATCTGGATGTGCTGGAACAACAAGACTTGTGGCAATCTGCAACAGCTCTACCTCTCAACTTACAGGACTTAAAGGATCCGCTGCTATTGTCTTAGTGCCAGATACCATAGGGCACCTTCAGACACTGTCTGTGTGGGACTTCACATTTTCTCCCTGTGTCTGTGTGGATTTATGCATGTAGATGAATCGGCTACACTAATGAGTGTGTGAATGTGTGTGTGCATGGTGCCTTGCGACTGGTGTCCTATTCAGGTTATACTCCTGCCTCATGCACAGTGTTCCTTGCATAAACAAGGATCCACCACAAGGATCCCAACAAGGGGCCCATCGTGTTCCATAGCTAAAAGGATCAGACGACTGACCAGGTTAAGCTACCTAATAAAAAGGCAAAAGGTGAGAAAGCAAAACCGGTTGTACACAAGAAATCCGTCCACAATAACATGTCTCAGAACGTATGAGTATGTAATAAAACTTTAAGACTTCGTGTTGACTCCATATGTTTTTTTTTTTTTATGGTGAATAGAGAGGAAATGGGAATAACCACCAAAGAAGCAGTTCAAAACTCGGGCAAGGGTGCAATCTGGCAGTCTGGGGTTGGGTTGACTGAGCTGGATGTTGCAAAGGTGCTTGCTGCAATTACATGTACTATACCGCTGAGATCATGGTACATACTGTTCGACCCCTACACACGATTCACAGACTGTGTATGCTGGCTAATGCAGCAACAAATAAAAAGTGCACTGAGTCATCACTAAATCATTACTAAGATTCATGTCACTTTGTCACAGACCTTGGTGTGTCCTCGGGTGCAATTAATCCGCAGGAGTATGATCTTCCAGTCATGCATGTGCAATTTAATGTGCAAGGAAATATTTCTGTCACTGACGTCGAACACCTCTATGGTGCAGAGCTGAAACAAACAGCTAAACAAGATGATGTAGCATGTAGTGTTTCAACAACCTCTTTTCAGTATTTGTACAGTGATTCTATGAAAGGTAAATGCAAAGCCTGTGATGCTGAATGGAATTCTACAGAAAATGCTGAAATGGAGGTTAAACATGTCCAAAAGATTTGGGTTACACAGTTTCCTGATCAACTTCCATACTGTTCTGTGTTGCACCATGGTCCTGAATAAAAGACATTTCGTTTCAATGTATACAAGCTACAGTGGAGGAATGACAATAAAAACTCACTTGACTTGACTTCTTAAACCAATACCAGGCACTCCCATTTTCTGACAACATGCTTGGAATTCCCACATGGCTTTGTTCTTTTCCACTGCTGATTTGCGATGGTCAGAACTGATGCAAACAGTACATAAACAAGAGCAAAGAGGTGCTGTTGATGTCGTTGCTAAACAAGCTTTATGAAAAATTGGCGGTGTTTTTCTGCATAATTCACTTAATGTTTTAAACTAGTGTTTAAAGTTTGAAAGTAATTGTATTGTCAAGTCAAGAAGGAATGACACACAGGCAGCATAACATGACATCGTTACACTGCTATTAAGTTTTTAAAATGTATCCTTGACTGGAATTTGGTTATGAGATCAAGGGCCTTGTTGAAGCACCCCACAGGTTCTGGAATTTGAATGATCAACCTCTGGATTATTAAGTGCCTGAAACAATGTGGGGATGTGGATATGGCTCAGTGGTGGCGTATTTGACTACAGATCAAGAAGTCCCTCGTTCAAACCCAGGTGCACCCTGTCTGACCTACCTCAAGGTACTCTTTAAGTGATCTGGGGCATCTTGAGCAATGTCCTTAACTTTATCTACTTTAGGCGTACTGTATCATGGCTCTGACCCTAACTTCCTAAGAATATGTGTAAAAAAAATATTCAACATGTACAATAACTTCTATGCAGGCCAATTGGACAGAAGAACAATTAAAACAAATCATCTCACTTCAGTAAACAAACACAAGCACCCTAAATCTGAAGACAGGTTGTGTGTGGGTTTTGGTGCCCTATGGACTGGCAGGGTATTCCACCTCACGTACAATGTTCCCAGGATAGTCTCCAGATCCAGATCCTGACCAAGATAAAGTGCTTACTGAAGTAATTAATTAATTAATTAATTAAACATTTTCAAAAAACATGTGTGTGAAGGCCATGTATAATTTGTGCCATGGAGCTTCCAAAAGTCACGTAAAAATCACTTAATCACGTAGTTAAGCTATTAGAAATAGCAGCAGGATGACAGTGTGTGTGTGTGTGTGTGTGTGTGTGTGTGTGTTGGGGGTGTGTGGGTGGGTTGGCTGGGGGGGTGGGGGTGGAACTAACTGCTCGGGTTGCCAGATTATCATCACTTGTTATCGGGTTGCCAGATTGTTATCAAGTTCAAGTTTCAAGTTTATTTGTCAAATATACAAGTGTCAGTGACAATGTACATTGAAATGCTTTTATCTTATTTTATCAAATAATTTATTTGTTGCAAATTCATTATACACTGAATAAATACATAATTAGACTACCTTGGTTACTACTATCCACGAGACCAGTCTAGTAGTCCAGTCGAATAATACTATTTAAAAACAGAACCTGACAACAACTCGACTCATCTGTATGGACTTTTACTTTCGGAGGAAGTGACGTCACTCCCACGCGGCCTCTTTCCGCTCGAGCTTCGGTGCTGCACGGGCAGTAGGGAAGTCGACCACATTCAATAGCATTAGTTCTCTCTCGGATTGTGTGCGTGTTTATTTTTCTGGAGTCAGACATCATGCCCATGTACCAGGTAAAGCCCACGAGCCAGGGTGACATAAAGATTGATTTGCCAACGTGCATGTACAAGTTACCGAATATCCACGCGCAGCCCGGAAGCAGCTGCGCCGAATATGCGCTACAGGTAAATCCGTTTATCACGGAGCTGTCACTGCTTTCGGAAAGCTGTTCCATGTGTTTTTATGTTAATATGGCAAGCGTTCTGTCGGTGAAGCCACCTGACTTTGGATACACTGCAAACTGGAGCCTGTGTGCTAGCTTGCAAATGCGCTTTTGCTCAATAGAGCCGGCTGATGCAACTGACGTTAGTTAAGGGCAATTTGTGTATTCGAGGTGTTCATCTCTGCGCAGCTTCTACGCAGCTTACTTGATTCACAATGTACATGGTAATCTGAATTTTTTAAAAATCTGTGTTTAGGCTCATAAATATGTGTTAGGTACATTAACAAGGTTCTGACATACCACAGGGACACCAAATAAATAAAAACGTTTGCTGTGTCAAGACAAAGTATTCAAAAGTGTTCAGTGTTATCAAGTATTATACAGAGTATTCATCAACAACGCAAAATTTACTTGTTCCTATTTCATGATTTCATTTCTTTCTTTTTCATTTTCTTTCATGCTGTATGTGGTTGTAATCTTGATCTGTTATAGTTTCGGTTTTAGTTTGTTTTTATGAGATTACTCAGGTAAAAGAATATACGAAGACTGGAATGAATGTGAAGAATTCTGAGGCAATTTGATTGATTTGCCAGACCTGGGCTTCTTATATATTCTGAGAAAGTTGCCTAGAGTTGTAGAACTGTACCTTAAACATCTGTCAAGTTTTTCATCTTGTTTCTCATTGTTGGTGTATATTTTTTGTCACTTTTTCAGAATGGGGAGGTGGATCCTGCCCTTAAAGCTCTGGAGGCTCGCCAGGACGAGATCATGCGCAAGCTGTATGAGCTGAAAGCAGCAGTGGACGGCCTCGCGAAGACAGTCACTACTCCAGATGCTGACATGGATGTTACAACGCTGACACAGACCACTACAGTGTCCGCATTCACGGGCACGGCTGATCTGGACGCTCTTCTCGGAAAGGTGACCAAGCCCTCTGTAATTTACCTTCTTTTTCGTTTGCTTGTTTACCAAGTAGAATGGACAGTTTGTCTGTCACAGTAATGGAGTGGAGCTAAAAGTAGCTTCACCTGTCCTGTTTTTGTTCTGTTTTTGTGGCTGGCTAGATGCTATGAAATGTTTAATAAGTTGCATACAAAGCTGTCCATTTTCGTGTTTTAGGACCCAGGTGCTCTGAGGGACATAGTAATCAATGCCAACCCGGCCAGTCCACCGCTCTCCCTGCTGGTGCTGCATGGGCTTCTGTGCCAGAGGTACCGTGTGCTCTCCTCCGTGCACGTGCACTCATCTGTCTCCAGTGTGCCTCCTCAGCTGCTCTCATGCTTAGGGCCACGCCATATTGAGAGCTATACCCGCCAATGCTTCCAGCTGGGTTTTACGCTCATATGGAAAGACGGTAAGAGAAAGAATGAGGATGAAAAGAAAATGTTCAAGGTAGTTTTCTTTCTGGAATGCAAGTTTCATTTGGTGGCAGTACAATTCTTAGTGGTATTAATCTGGTTCAACCTGTCCTGGAAGTCTTTGTTTAATGCTGAGAAGTATGGCTATTGACATAAAGAAGTTTAGCATCTGAAGGCTGAAAAGTTTTCTCCTGTCTCAGCATTCTAAAACATAAAAGAAATGATTACAGACCCAATTATTCACCCCCGATTTCATTTTATGTACTGTTTTACACAAATCTGTGTGATTAACCAAATTACTCAAACTCACAGACTTAGACATAGAGCTAACTTCTCTGTGGTTATATAGTTTTTTTTTAATGGCGTCGTTGTGCTATTACAGCATTGATGAAAACACAACCTGATTTCATCTGGGTTCCAGATTATTCTACTCGGAATTTGCACTAGAACAACTGATGATATATTTACAAGTGAGAAGCTAACGCATACAATTTTCAGTTATCATTTATCAGAGTTGTTTGATGATAATACAGTCAGCAATAGTGATGTCTTGGCAGGTTATAATGTGTTTTAATTCTTGTTCCTGCATAATTGCAAGAACCGCAAACATTTCTATATTAGAAAGAAAATAGTGAAAATGCCTTACTTCTTTTTTCTGTGCTGTCTTCCTAAAAGCACCTGAACAGAGTGAAGTGTTTACTAGTTCTCCATCTGATCGTCATTTATGATGAACACTTGAATGCAGCATTTTAAAAATCCTGATAAATACAGAAAAAAACACAATAGCTTACCTGTTCATCATTTTTCAATGTTATTATGTAGCGTTTATGTGTATGTGATCCCTCTTTCCATCCAGTGCCAAAAGTGCAAATGAAGTTCATCACGCAGAGTATGTGTCCCATTGAGGGCGAGGCCAACGTGGCACGCTTCCTCTTTCGGCTGCTGGGCGCCGAGCCGAAGGACCCGATTGTTGCCACACAGTTGGACAGCTGGGTGGATACGGCCTTCTTCCAGCTGGCAGAGGGGGGCAGTAAGGAGCGTGCGGCTGTGCTGCGTTCACTCAACAGCGCTCTGGGCCGCTCGATATGGCTGCTGGGCCAAGAGCCCTCGTTGGCCGACATCGTGTGCGCGTGCTGCATCCTTCAAGACGGCCAGGCCTTGTCCACTCCTGCCAACGTGCAGCGCTGGCTCCAGGCATGCAGGAACCTCGAACACTTCCACTGCATCGCTCCTTTGCTGCAGTGAGTGAGGCTCCCAAAATGGGTTAAGATAAAGATAAAGACGAGACATTTATACAAAGTGTAAGTAAAATGAATTAGAGGAAACGTCATATTATTCTACACAGAATTTCCAATAAGCTAAAGGGGCCTCGGTGATAGTGATAGAGCTCAGATCTGCCCAGTTATTACCTTTACCTATAACTCACCTCAGGGCAGGCGGGCCTCAGATGAAAGCCTGTCCATACAGAGTTCTACATGAATATTTAGGTATTCTGATCATTATAATGTTAAACTATCCATAACTGAATCCAGACCACTGTCATATTCACAGTGCTCATAGAGCAAAGAACTGGTGTTTAAAATAGTGGATTCTGGGTATGAATGCTGTCTCCCTCCACATTGTGCCTAACATGATACTGTGGTGTGTGTACTGTGTTAATGCTGAATATTACTTGTGTTGATGAGCAGTTCAGATGTGAAGCAGAGGACCTCCTGGAAGTGTATGAGACATATGACAGATACTTTGTAACGTCTTTTTCTTAAAGCCTATTAAAGATTTTCACATTGGGTCAAACTTTTGTATGCAGTCTTGTTTGTCTGCTAATGAATGTGCAGTTTTCATACAGAAAGCTCGCAACATGTGTGCTGAGCCAGTAGATGGCACAGTAATTCTTCTGGCTCTGATGCCCATATACTTTCCCATGCTTATATCTTCAATATCTTCAGAATTGTTCAGGCCCCGGAAGCATCACAGCACTAAGATCATCATTAAATGGTAGAGTGAACATCACACTGAGCGCTCTTTATGATGTCCTTATGGAACTGGAGCTAGACTTGCTACTCTTGTTTGTTGAAGCATATATGTTTTGTTCATGGACATCTAATTTGATTAACTTTTTCCTTCGTGTGAAATTAACTAGGGAAAAATTGGAGCCGTATTATTTCCATTTCGTTTTCAAACCACATTTACAAATAGAAAAAAAGCAGAATGCCATGCATTCACTATAAAGAGAGTGTAGAATTATTGACACTCTTCATAAAAATGAGCAAATATGATTGTATGAAATTGTAAAAAACATTACACAACCATTCAAAATTTCTAAATAACATGCTTATTAGAACTACCTTTTAAATACTAGTATTTTCTCTCAAATATGAGCCAAAATTATTGATATGCCCAAGGGATATTTGAAATAAATGCTAGACAAACTGCCACAAGCCCCAGCAGCAATCCTATTGTCCT